GGGGGTACCTGGCAGCCGGCGAGCCTGAACCAGCACGGAAACGCTGAAATTCCTGTGATTTGTACGAATTTCCTCGTCCTGAAAACCCTATGCGTGAGCGCAGATCTTCGTACGTTTACAAAACGTTGTTATTCACAAATAATTTGCAAACCAAAAATATAGAGAAATGTATATATCACTTGCTGAGCTGCCTTTCGCTGGAGCGTGGTTTCCCAGGGTGTATCGGTGGTGCGTTCCTTTCCCACGGGGAGGGGGGACAGCACGCTACGGCCAGTTTCCCCGAATGACTAGCTGCAAATTTCAATAAAGCAAAACGTGGCACTTTCAGCACAGTGGCCACATAGTGTATGGTTGGACTCTGTATCCATCTTCCCCTCTGACTAAATTACTGATTTGACTTTTTTTCTCTCTGCTAAAAGCACCTCATCAAGGCTCAAATGAAGCTAGGCTCTACTTAGCTTTATTAATTGCGACAAACCAATGACAAATACAGAATTTTGATTTTTCAACCCTTTAAAATCTTTTTCTTCCCAAATAATTGTGTGCTTTCTCAAACCTTATTTTAATGATTGTTCATTCGTGAACCACGTAGACTAAAATTTAGCACACCATAGAAACCAACGGTTACCATTCCTACATTTTTTTGCCGTTTTTATCATAGCAGTTTAGATGGAGCAATTTGCAGAGTTTAAGTACTAGTTTTAAAATCCATAAAGAGTTTCTTCCTTTAAATTAAATTTGTGTGTTAATGCAATACACACTTCGAATGCATTTCCAAGTTGATGTTTTCCAGCTGAGCTGATGAGTTCATCAATTCAAATAGTAGCGCTTTTAACGGTTGGCTTGTGCAAGAGTCTTAAAAACACTTCTTCAGCAACTAAAACCTTAATTGAACTGCTTCCATAAAGATATATTAATTTGTAGTTACTTGTGAGACATGTATATAGGAGTTCAGCTGCTCCTCCTGAATTGCTTGCCTTGAGCACCTCTGATCTGCGCTCTTCCAGATTTTATTTCCAAGTCATTTTTAAACCAAGATGTGATTTAGCTAATTCTATTAACCATCTAGTTTAAAAACTTGCCGAGCCAAAGACTTGGAGAGTTTTTTCACATTAGCTGCACAACAAAAGCCAAAACCAGGCGGGCTGCACAGCGGAGAAAACTCCAGCGAGGCAGCATTTGCTTAGTTTCAGGATGGCTGTGACAGTTCTTCCACAAGTCATCCCGGAGGCTGACTGTATCAAGTGTGAGGCTGGGGCCTCGCATGAGTCACTTCTGCTCGGCTGATGGATGCTCCCTTAGGGCCTGCAGTCAGCCAGGAGAAAACACAGTTCAGTTTTACATAACGCTGTGGCTCAAGCTGATGCAGACATGTTCTGAGCATAATGGAACCATAATCAGGTCCTTGATGTACCCTCCTTTTCACTGCATCCTGCAGACAGTCCTGACAGTAACCTCTTCTCTAGGGAAAGGGATGAAGTATGCATTTTTGCTGTATCCTCAATATAGGATAAAATTTCCCCAGATTCACATTTTAGGCAAAGCCTCTGCGGTTCTAGCTCTCCTAATAGAATTTTGAATCTGAAGCAATACTTCAAGGATGCTGTTTTTTCCTTCTATCGCCTTCCCCGTCACCAGTCAGCAGTTCTCATTGCTGGCGGTTTTATTGCTGCTAGAACTATTTTAAATGTTATCAGAGTAGTTTTGCAAAAGTAAGGTACGTA